CATTTAGGGCTCAAAAACTAACTTTTTCCACCACCTTCCCAAAACTCACAAGGGGTAGCGCTAACTATTGTTGTCACAATTCTGACTTCAATACAATACATTGAAAAATATCTATCTTTTATATATTAAATATCTATCTTTTATACCGTTTTATACCTTTTATACCGTTTTTGATGCAATTGAGGAACACTGACAACACCTTGATTAAATAACAATTTAATTACAAAATTATTATCTAATCAACTTTTCTCAGAAACTATGTTAATAGTACTGTGTGTTATTTAGGCCATTTAAATTTTTGCTAAAGTCCGTTTTATTTTTATCCCAAATTCATTGTTTTGTTTTAATTTTTCTGAATTCTGTGTTTTATAATTTAAGCATATTTGTCATCAGAAAGAGTGTGTAAACATATGGTGGATGAATACAAAAAAACTTTTATCAATATCAATGAATTTGATGTGTCAAACCAAATGAGTATGAAGAAATATTCAAATGTAGGCCTATGTTCAATTATTAATGGGCGTAATTCACAATGACTGAACTGTCCCCTATAAAGTAAGTTTTTCCTTGATTACTGATCATTTCTTCCCACAGATCTTCTGCGTGTCCACCCTCGATGAAACACCGACACAGAGAGCAGAGGAGAGATGCAGGGTGCTCATAAATAAAAACTGAAAACATACCACTGCCAGACAAACTACATTGTTATGTTTGTTTGGTTTAAGTGCTGTGAAAAAGATGCTTATAACGCTAGAGAAACCCTGATTTTGATTAATTGCAACCACATTTTGGCAGATTGAGATATTCCACGCTTAACAGCTGATTCCATTTTTATTATCAAATTCTGCAATTTCATCCGCATTTACTACATCGCGAAAAATCATTGGGCCCTAGTAAAGCAGAACAACATCACTTAATTTACTTCTGATCTTAGTCAAAGTATTTTCCTATCAACTTAAACTCAGCTGTCTGATATTCCTCAGGTCTAATAGCTCTGACGGGGATTAGCTTAGTTTTGAGAATTACAAACGTCTGTTGGGCCAACAACAACAAGACAACTTGCTTATTAAAAATTTGTTTAATGGGCCATCTTGTTAAGTACTTCAGTGATGCTGAAGTTGTCTTCAACCTCTCTTCTTTATATGTTCTTTATAGAGGTCTGTGCGTCAGTCCTGCAGGTGCTTTGTTAAATTGGTTATTTTAGCACCTTTCTTTAGCACTGCTCTGTACCATCACTTGCGTATGGCTTGCTTGTATCATGCCAGCATCCAATCACAAGTCACAAGTACTAGCCAATCACATTAGGGAGGAACTTGTCAAAAATGCAGGGGAAAACAATTACGTTCATCACCTGGAGCGAATGAGATCAGTTTTTTTTTTTTTTAAGTTTTGACAACACTAACGCTAACATTGTTCCACAGCAGCCAGACTGACAAAGCTGCCTGCAGATTTGTCTGCAGACATTTTTTGAATATATTGGCCTTGTGAGTGCAGGTATCAGCTGATGCAGATTATCTAAAAATGACATGAGCCCAAATAATCAGCCAACCGATTAATCTCAAATCATAAATAGGTCCCTCAAATCTGTTTTGAATGATCTAATGGTCTATTTCCAAGCAGCCATTTATATCAAAGAATCTTGAGAAAGTTGTGCCAAACAGCACAAACAGAATCCTATGTCCCCGTCAGGTTCAGGATTCAGTTTAAGGTGCTCGATTTTACAAATAGAGCCCTTCATGGTCAGGCACCTGGTTAGGGATGGGGTGGGAATCACAAATGTCAAAAGTCTATTTTCTAAATGTTAATTGATAATATAATGTTGACTGAACGCAAAAGTGCAGCACCCGGGCAGACAGTCCGTGGTATGTACATAACAAAGACCAGTGGTCCGCCTATATTTCCTACACTGCCGTTGCTAAATGAATGACCACCGATGATGGACTGGCAAGCATATCTCCTCAAACGGAAGGTGGAGGAACACAAGGTCTCTAACATCCACCAGCTCCATGAGGTGGTCATGGAAGAGTGGAAGAGGACTCCAGTGGAAACATGTGGTGAACTACATGCCCAAGAGGGTTAAGGCTGTGCTGGAAGATAATGGTGGCCACACAAAATATTGACACCTTGGGCCAAATTTGGACATTTTCCCTTAGGGGTATACTCACTTTTGTTGCCAGCGGTTTAGACATTAATAGCTGTGTGTTATTTTGAGGGGACAGCAAATTTACACAGTTACACAAGCTGTACACTCACTACTTTACATTGTAGCAAAGTGTCATTTCTTCAGTGTTGTTGCAGTGGTGCATTTACAGAAATGTCAGGGGTGTACTCACTTTTGTTGCCAGCAGTTTAGACATTAATAGCTGTGTGTTATTTTGAGGGGACAGCACATTTACACTGTTACACAAGCTGTACACTCACTACTTTACATTGTGGCATTTCTTGTCACAATGAAAAGATAATCAAATATTTACAAAAATGTCAGGGGTGTACTCACTTTTGTGAGCGTATTTCTCAAAAGTGAGTACACTTGACATACACACAAGCTTACTTTTTTTTTTTTTTATTTCTGCAAACATGGAGAAGTATCCAAACAGTTTAAAATGAGTGGGAAATGTCCAATTATGCTAACCTCATTGACTTTATTTACTAATTTAGTGAAATGACATAGGCATAAGGTTTTGTAATTTGAGGTATGCTTTGTTATATTTGTGAAATGTAATTAAAACAAGTCATATATTAGAAAGCTAACTTTTTCAGTTAGTCAGTTGTCAGTTGGTTCAGTTAGCTACAGTTACACCTGACAGCCAGTGGATATAAATGTTCAGTCACAACTAAATAATCTCTATGTAAGTAGTTTGTGAGCTAAAACGTGTTTTGCTTAAAACCCCACTTAGTAAATGTCACCAGCATAGATGTTAGATGCTAGATGTTACTAAGGACTTCACACACAAACTTTGTAATGGATATTCAATCCAGGAGAGAATTATGTCCACAGAAACTTCACAATCATAGTACAAACACTCTGCTTGAACTAAGAAGGGGATGATGTCTCTCCCAACGTGGAGAGGCAGGAAAACACCCTGCAAACGCTGCCTGTCCATCACAGCACTAATATACCCTGACATACAATTCAAACACACAGCCAGACTAATGCACACACTATAGACACAATGCTGCTTGTGTTTGGACTGAAAGCCAATTTATTAGTAATTGCCAATTACTGAACTAGTCTCAGTGTATCTGCATGTTTCAAAACACCAAATTGAAGAATTTTAAAGATTTATACTGAATTTGATTGAAAGCCACTCGTATTTAAGCCTCTGATGCCAAGCAGTATTTGTCTGCGCACTTTGGATGCGTTACAAAACCTGGGTTTGGAAAACAGTATGCCACTATGAAGCACATTTTAACATTAATTCAACCCTAAAACTTAAATAATCAAAGCCTTTCTGTTTACAACGACCTGCAAACTCCTGAGTTTAATTACTATGGAAGCACAATCATGTCCATGTTTAACACCCTGCAACTACACACCAGGTGATCACAAATATGCACGATGGAGTGAAAGCCTTACGGACATTGCTGTGTTTGTGGGAGAGCCTACTGCAACTGGAAAACTCTGCTGACTGTATCATTTTGGCCATCAGTCAGTGGTAAATGTAGAGTGAGAAATGTGTGAAAACTGAACACACTAAGCCAATTTAAGCTGCAGACTTGTGTCCCCTGAGTCTCAGGTATCCAGTTTTAAAAGCAAATGCTTTGTGCACAGAAAGCGCTCGCAAAGCTGGACTCTGGGGCCTGATGACGACACGCTGAATGCCATGCTGCAAATGATGTTTCATTTTTAGTGAAAAGATGATGTGCATGTTTCAACAGAAGCAAGTATTCAAAACTTTACATAAAAACACAAGACTGACAGTTACAGGAAACCAATCCTGGGTGTACTTGGAAATATGTGGACTTGCAGATAAGACAAATCAAGTTTAATCTTTAGGTAGCATAAAATATGTAATTTTACCCCTTTCTGGTTAGATTGTGCTTGGTCACATTTTAGGCAACACCTCGTGTGTCCTGTGTTGGATTTTGCTTATAATCTCAATCCAATTAAATATGAAGTCCTTAAGAGAGCTCACTTCAATAAAGAAATGCCTGTGTCTGACAAAAGAGGATAACTGTATGGCCATAATATAATGGATGCAGCAGTAGCCTACTCTGAACTGAAATAAATTTTGATCACAAACATACAGAGAAATGTGTTACTGGTAATCAAAAATGTCTTAGAGAATATTGTTTAGCAATATTGACCAAAGCTGACGTCCATAAAACGTCGACATAATGTAAAGTTATTTAGAGTTAAGCTACATTGGTGTTTCTGCGTGCTGTAATACTGTAACGTATCAAAAAAAAAAAAACAAGCGATACGCAATCAACCAAAACGCACCGTTTAATCTTATGGAAGTAACGTCGCACCAGCCTGCAGCTACATATCAGTGTCGTACAGCAGGACGAAAGGGCTTTGAGAAATGAGCATGCTCATCTGCTGGATTCGGCATTTACATAATGATAAATGATAAACAAGCACTGCCGTATTTCAACGTTATTAGTTCTAAACTTGTCCCCACTCGCACATTAGTCGCTCCTGCCCAGGACGCTCACGTTATCCACTGAAAAGCTGCGAATGATTTTAATAAAGTTACGCGTTTGTTCAGGTACGAGCACCATAATTTGCTATATGTACGCCGAAATGTGCAGACACTGCTATATATTTGGAAAATATTTGTATGTCAAGCATGCTAAGAATTCACAAGTATTTAGCGAGGGGACACTGAGCAGTCGATTTTTTAAAGGTACTCTGGAGTTCCCTCTATAGCAAAGAATTCAACGGCATGCATGCTCTTGTTACCTGCCCCTACACATAGCACATCTCACGGGAATAGGGCAAACGGATGTGTTATTTACGTTCATTCAGATAAATCTAAATGAATAGGGTTACTTGCCGAAGTTGGAACCAAAAGGCTGGCGGGTCGCTCGATCAGCTCAGGTTGCTGTTTCCCGGTCACATTCATTTCCCATAAAACCGCTTTCTCTGTCCGCTGACTTCGACGAGAGTTTCTCAAGTCATTCACCCCCAGCAATAGACTGCAAGTGTTATTCACCGGCGTCCCGTTTAGCAACAGAGGCAGACGGAGAAACCATGCCTTGAAAAAGCTCCCTGTATCCTGCAATTACAACAATTTTGCCTGCTGCAGGAGCAAATTAGTTAACGGGAATCGCTGTTTAGTTCTCCCTCTCAGCCCTAACTGTCAGCACACAGTGGCTCCTCTGCTGCTGCTCATCAGTCTGCATGTCTCTCCACCTGCTGCCTGTCCTCCCATTAACCATTCCTGCGTCAAACCACACTACATTAACCCATTGTCTGGCATTTAACCCTAAAAACATTACGGCGTTTATTAGCATAAATCATGGATACATTTATTATTAGATCAATATTAAGCTCAACTAGAACTCAGTCCTTCCACTCTGTTCTCAGGTGAATCTGGCCAGCTTCCCAGAGCATGCTGAATCTTCGTGGATGCTGGCACAGATTCATTTTTCTGGACATGGGAATAGGCCTTGCTCATTTTCCCGAAGATGAGGAGATGGGTCAGAGATGATTTTGTGAGCTAGTGTACTGACTCCTCATAGCTGGCCTGAGGGAGCTGGTGCTATCCAACCATCAGACTCAGAACCAGAACTGCACTGGATATTATAGGTACAGGTTTTTACACAAAATAGGATACCTCCAAAAGCCATCACTCTTGTCAGGAGCAGCAGAGGTTATAAATAGAGGCTCTCAAACAAGTCCACACAGTACCTGAGAGATGGTTTTACTTTGTATGATTACAGGCCTATGATTGGTCACATACTTTTGCTTTGTATCTTTTTTATATACAGGATTGGAGCTGTATGTGCATCTGTGAGTGTAACACTGATGGATTGCTATATTATATGACAGCATGACACTATCATCAGCATATGACAGGGTATTGTCAGAGGATTGTAAAAGGTGTGATTGTTATGAAAGCTTCTTTAGCGTCGCATTTCAGGCATCCACTCAATATTTTTGTGCTGACAAGATGATGTTTTAGCACACTTATGGATTTCAGCTAAATCTATCCTCCAACTTATTGTTGGCTATTGCAAATATAGCTGGCCTTGTGGATTTCAGCATGCAGCCTTGAGTTAAACATTTCTAGAGGCAGAGCAGAGCCGCAAAGGTAAACAGGCTCAGTGTTTGAAGGGAAGCTCAGTAGTTTTATGTACCAAACTTTATGGACTCGTTAAATAAAGCAGCTCATATGTTAAAATACATTTTCAAAATGCCAAAGTGTCCATAATGCTTGCTGTATAAAAACGCTTTTACAACTTACTGTATGTGTGTAGTAAACACACCGATAATGGTGTTGATGTAGCTCTTCATCTTTACTGATACATGTATGAAGAAATTAAGGCAGCTATGTTAACACAAAACTTTCTTTCTTAGTGGGAATAGGAAAAAGGATCACTATGTGCCCAATTCACTATGACAAAGTGCACCACAGTGACCCTGAGGATAGCTCCAAGCACCACAGGATTTAGTGTGCAACAGGGTTGTTAAAGACGGCTCATCCACAGGGCCAACAGTCATTTGAATGCATTCAGTTTGATTGCTTCTTTGACCCAGTAATTGTATTTGCTCTCATTGACCTGGCCATTTTCGGTTTGAATCAAGGACTTCAGGACAAAAACAGCTGGCAGTGTTACTCTGACCACTTTGGATCTCATCAAAAACTAGAGGACGCTTGCTTTCAGTTAAGCCTTCAATGCAACACATAAAAGGAATATAGTTTGACATTTGGGGAAAATAACGTTTATTCTCTTTCTCACAGAGAGTTAGATAGAATATCAATACCACTCTTGTGTCTGTAAGCTAATATGATGCTACAGCCAGCAGGCAGTTAGCCTAGTTTAGCACAAAAATGGGGGGGGGGAGCACAGCTTAGCTGGCTTTGTCCAATGGTAACAGAATCTGCAACAACAAAAAAAGAGAGTTAAGTGGCCTGACAATTTCTTGGTCGGGCGCACAGTGACTTCCTGGAGTGGAACAGGTGTTTCTGCGTGCCTCCCCTTGCTTCTTTGTTTGGGTTGTGGAACATAACATGACAGACAGGCTGAGGGATAACAGGAGGTTTTCCTCCAAGGCGTCACTTTGTGTTGAAACGGGATGGGGACATAAGGGCTCAGATTAGGGGTGTCTTTATTTATATAAAGAGAAACACAAAACTCAGGTGGCAGGTCACAATTCAAAACATAAAAATTTAACAGAATATAATGCAGTAATCAGTAGCATGTTTTTTTTAGCTTAAGTAACTTTTTCTGGACAATGCAAATTTGTTTCTTCTATATTTAAATTGCATTGCATGTTTTCTTACTGTGCAATAAACCTTTCTCATTCAAGATTCTTTGTTGCATTTACGTACTTAACTGGCACTCCAAAGAAACTTACAGTTGCTATATATGTCAGAGTGTCTTCCTCTATAGGGAAACATTGGTGGATTGGTCGCTGTGGGAATGGAACCCCAGTCTCTAACACCAAAGACGTTTCTTATCCAATGCCCCATCCCCACCCTAAGCTCTTTTTCAGAACATTGTTAACAAATTCTTTCAAAAAGTAATGGGGACACATCCCCCCAGCGTCCCCAGTGTAAATGACACCTATGGTTTGCTCTATCTCATACAACTCGCTCTGCCTCAATAGTCGACTCTACCCTGAAATATTTCTCTCCCGTAGACTTGCACTGAATTGATTCTTAATATCACTTGTCCCATATCAGTACAACATGGAACACGCCTTGTTAGCTTCCAATTACGGGGACGTTTCTAGTCTTTATGCTAGGCTAAGCTCACTAGCAGCTAGCTGTAGGCCTATAGCTTCAAATTGACAGTAGGCCTACAGATATGAGAGTGGTATTGATATTCTCACACCCTCTCAAGCAAATGAATGTTGAGCATATTTTCCACAATGGTGAACTACACATTTAAAATATTTTATGAAGTTTTGCTTAATAAGGTCAAGGTTGAAGTTTTCTAATAGTGTGACTATTTCCAGACAATACAGATACCATGTATAAGTATTTTATCAATTTTGACACAATACAGAATCTTTGGTTTCCTTCATTCCCAGTGTTACAGGCCCCCAGAATGAACCGGAACTTTACTGATAAGTTACCACAACTATAAAATCTTCATTTGACCTTGTATGATTGAGTTTTAATACTCTGGGTTTTAATAGTTGTTGCCTAACATCCACTCCTGCATCTGATTTCAGTCTTGTTAAATCTGTAGCTCGGTGAAAATGTCTGTATTTCACCCATGATTTCACCACTACATTTCAGCAGTTAAAACTTTTCAGTATGAAATTAAACTTACAGCATCCCCTAATCACAGAGGGGAAATTATGTTCTACTGTGATGTAGTTCTAGCATCTGGTTTCAGCTCAACTGGGTGGAAAGAAATAGACTTCCGTATGTCTGACCATCAATCAGTTATTTTTAAAGCTCTGTCTGCCCCTCTCTCAGCTGCGAGCGCATTCCTCTGGATCTCTCTCTTGCATCTTTAACTTCTGTCAGGCTTTGAAAAACCTTGTATCAAAGCTTCAAAGTGACTTTCTTTCTCTCATGTTATATCTAAAAATGCTCACTTTTCTTGGGTTGTGTTTTACATACCAGACTGTTTCTAGTCCTATTTCTGGTATTGAAAATACTGTTATACTTTACCAAAAATTTTTTCAACCAGTTTTCTCAGGATCATCATGCAGGAATCATTTTGTTGGTAGGCCAGCTTCTCCTGAATTTGGCCATTTTGACCCTTCTTTCTCTCAGTGACTGAGACTAATGATGCACCTGTTCCCTGGGTGTTGTCCCTGTTCACACTATATTCTGAAAGAGGTTTTTGTGAGGGTGAACTGGGAACATCTTGCAGAGGCCACTTTACACTTTTAAACTTTTCCTCCAGAGGAAGCAGGTGAGGAAATTACTTTACAACACTCAATCTAGTTTTTGAACAATACCCTGCACTAGGCCCTGCTTCAAGTATTCAGTGTTAGCACTGTTATAATGTAGGTGTATCTAGGTGAAACTTCTTTTTTATCCTTCCATATCTTCGCACAGCCTTTGTGGGGCTTCTTAGCTTGGCATTAAGGACACTACTGTAAATTGGTTCAGCTTCTATCTTTCTCGTTCTGTACAACCTTTTCTGTTCAAATTGAAAACTCATCAGACAGTAATCCTGCAGACAATAACAGGGGCAAAGTTCAGCTTAAGGTTTTACTTTCTTGCAGTCTCTCTCTGCTGCATTTTTTATACAACTTTCTTATGCTCTTGGACAAAACTTTTTTGCTCTTCACATTCATGCTTGGGAATATACATGTAGTCCTTAAGGTGGATCATCTTGCTCCAGAGTTTTTAAAAAAAAATTTAATGGCAAAAAAAGAGTACCATATGGGCACAGGGTGCATGACTAAATAATCACTTCTGTTCAGATGGTTTTAATGCAATACATGTCTCATGATTCATCGATCCAAAACAATGAACAATGAAAACAATGAAGACTTTTCTCACATAAATTTAACAAGACTATGACCCTTGATTAGACTAGAGACTAGAGCCGTGCTAGCAGCTCTGTGAGGTGGTACTAAATGCTAAGACTAGCATGGCAAAATGTTCACAATAACAATGCTAATACAGTGTGTTTAGTGTGTTAGCAGGCCAACATTTGATAATTAACACTAAACACAAAGTACAGCTGAGGCTAATGGGAATGCTTCTAGTGTGGCTACAAAAATATGTTTGTCGCCTATCACACCATTTGCTATTATCACAAAATCCTGTCCATCTCTCTTCCAAATTTCTTTGATGCTGAGCTAAATTGTGATTCTTATGTAAAAAGAGTTGGACATTCCTGACTGAAAATGTGAGTCACAAAACAAGTGAAACTTAGACATTGTCATTGTTCAGGGTCTGGATTTGTAGCTCTCTTTATTCCTGCATAAGTCAAACACCTTTCCAACATCTGGCAGCTGTTTGGAATTTAACGCTAACAGAGGAAATCATCTCTCCACTTCCCATTAGTTTCATTATTGATATGTGTTTGTCAGCACAGATGGATTGAGTGGCTTCCCACCGTGTCTGTTGGCTAAAACGCATCTTCCCTGGGACCTTTGTTGTATGTCTTTCTCTTTCTCTCTGCTGTCGTTTCTCGTCTTCTTTCAACCTAAACTGTTCAATTACATAAAAAATACTTTTAAAAGGAA